GTATTTACATGGGTTAGCTTTGTTGTAGTTTGTTCTGAAAATGTAAATGTGGCAAACAATCCAAAACTATGGTATGGACATTAATTTCTGTCTGCTTTTAGATTTGAAAATTTAAGCACTGCTTCCCGTGCTTGTCCTGACAAAATGCCACTGTGTTGTATAGTAACATAAATTGCAGATGTATAAAATGTGCAATTGTGTTTTCTTTCCCTGTCTTATTAGCACAGACTTTGAGAATTGTAATTCTAGGGAAAGAAATGTCAAATACAAGCCCATTTTTGTGATTCTCAAAGCACTGTGGTAGCCAGTGTAAAGGAATCTAAAGAAAGCTTGAAATCTACTGCATTAAATGACTTCTTGTTCTTCAGTGGAAATGACACAAATTCGTAGCAGCAAAAATTATGATGCTTATATATAGAATTTTTTTGTGGAAATACAGTAACTGGAATTACCTTTACATACTTGACCTTACTGGTTGAAATATTGGCCTTGCTTAATGTGAGCATATAGTTCACAATTTATTAATTTGAAATATTCAGGCTCAAGAGTGGAAAATAAAAGTACTTTTTCTAAGAATGCAGGTGGATAAACCAAGAGCCTGAGTGGGTGCTTTCCATGTTAACTGCTGCAACAACGCCACACATGTGCAAGGAAGTTCTAATGTGCATATCTGTGCAAGTTTCTGTGTGTGCGTGTGTGTGTGTGTGCATGTGTGTGTGTTTGCACATAAGCTTGGAGCCTTCTGGACAGGGCAGAGGGTGAAGGGGAGTGCTAACACACTCTCCTTGTCAGCAGCAAGGGTAATTACTCCTGGCTGAAATTACTCAACATTTGTTTATAAGCTCCCCTGAGCACACTGTAAATAGATTGTCTGCTCAAGTCCAATGCCATTGAAGCCCTGCTGTCCCCAGCAAACACACACACACACACACACACATACACCTACGCACACACCCAAATACACACACACACACACACATACACACACACACAAATTTTCATATCTTAGTGAGGACATCTATATGACATAATGCTTTCCCTAGCCACTTACCCTAACCCTAACCATCAAAGATGAATGCCTAATCTTAACCCTTAGCCTAACCCTAACCATAACCTAACTGTAACCCTGACACTAAAACCACATTTTGAGCCTCAAAGTGCCTTCAATCTTGTGGGGACAGGTATATTGTCTCAATAAGTGACTGTTGGATCTGTTGGCCTGATGACCAGGCCTGCAGAATTCTAATCAACAAAAGCAAGTTGATGTGTTCATAGCATGTAAAGGTTTTCTCAAATAAATCATATTTAACAGAGGTCTGCAGGCAAAATATTAAATTTCATAAACCTAGGGACTGTGTGTTAACAAAGGAATTTAGTTTAATATATTTTTGTACAAAGCTAAATTTCTCTTATTTCTTTTATCTCCTTTGTATTCTGTGGAATAACATTTCTCAGATGAGAAGTTAGCTTCCAATATTTTACTTTTCTAATATAAGGAATTTCATCTGAATTTGAGTCATCTTTTTCTTAAGCTAACATGACGTGTCCATTGAAGCAGGAAAGTGCTAAATACAAGGAATAAACAAGTAGTGTGTCTTAGTCAAGTGTTGGGCCACCATGCACCACCACAAAAACGTACCTTTGCATTGATTATCCCAAACTCTGGAATGCTGCCGAATGGCTGCAATAAAATATTCTTAATTTGAGTTTTTAATGATTGGTAGAGAGCACTCCAGCTGTCATGTTGCAACCACAATGGGACCGCCTGAGTCAATCATTCACATCTAAGACAGTGCTTGTGATTTCACTAGAGCCACTGCAGTGCATTTCAGAAGCATCCCAGAACTGTTGGCTGTGTCAGTGCATCCCAGTGATCCAAGTGTCACAGAAATGTTAAGACACCCAGTGAATTTCCACAGTTACATGGCCATCCAAATTTTACCATGTGTGATTTTGGATGGGAATTTGGTCAAATCTGGTGACTTTATAGGATTTATTCACATAACTTTCATGCTCATTAAACATATTTATCCTGAGCCCAATTAGGATAGATGTTTCAACATACATACAGTGCTTTGAAAAAGCACTTGTCCCCGTCTTGATTTCTTACTTTTTGGTATTTTTGTTATACTTACATGTTTCAAATCATCAAGCAAGAATCAAGAAGTCACAAAAATTGAACCTCTCTCTTACAAAGTGATGCAGGGCAAAACCTGATGTGAACCTAGGAATGTCTGGCCAATCAAAATTACTCAGAGAGCACCTCAATGACTCATCCAAGAGGTCACAAAAGAACCCAAAACTTCTAAAGATTTGGAAGCCTCAGTTAAGATCTGTTTTTATGATTCAACAACGAGAAAGAGGCTTGGCAAAACTTGCACTGAAGGGAGAGTTCCAAGGTAAAAACCACTGCTGACCAAAAAGAATACGAAGGATCATCCCACATCTGCTACAAAACATCTTGATGATCACCATGACCTGGGAAAAAAGTCTGTGGACTGTTATGTCTAACACACGAACTAACACAGAATTTCATAAAAAGAGCATCATGCCAACAGTCAAATATGGTATGGGTCTCCTGCTTTCGTACCTGGATGACTTGCCGTGATTAATGGAACTTTAAATTTGCTTCTCTATCAGAAAATCCAGAAAGAAAATGTCTTAGGGACAAGCTTAAAGCTTAAAAGCTTAGGGACACTGGT